ATTGCTGGATTTGTCCCTATTTTACCCAGCACTGGGATGCATTTACCCCGCATTTTTTAGAGTTTATAAGCCTAAAGAAAGGATTGTGTTTATATCCGATTGTTTCCTGTCTTTGAAACAAAAGCCCAGCCCACATTCAGCTATAAATCCATGTCCTGGGGTGTACTTTTCTTTGGCACAGCCAGCGGCAAAAGTAAATTAGTCTAATACAGGTTCATCTGGACTTATCTCTCATTTCTTGTAACAAAGAGAAAGATAATGCAGTGATCTCAAAGCTGCAGCATTCTACTGTCCTGCCTTCTGCAGCTACATGCTTTGAACACAATCCTATTGTTTTGACTGTTCCTGGCGTCTGTTGGCGTGTTAACACCTGTCCTATTTCACCGGATTTGTATTGAAATGACCTCAGAGGGTAACTAGAAGTCTGTAGAAATTGTAAACCGATATTGATCATAAAAACACCTTGCACGCCCTTTACTGTATAATAAAATGGTGCCAATTTTAGTCATGTTAAAGTATGGAACAACTTAAAAGTAAATATATCAAAAATGTGGTGTTACAGTGATGGCATCAGATGTCAGTATTGTGACATATACTGTAGCATAGAGCTGAATGAATATGAACAACATGACATTATGGGCAATGTTTTACCATGATATTTAAAAAAAAACAAAAAAAACAGTAGGCCTACTGTAGTATGAAGCAAGGTATTATTAGTGTTCTTATAGCACATTCAGTTTAAGAGAACTTCAGTCATAATAGATAAAGCAGGACAACACAAAAATAAATACAGTAGACGAGTAAATGATGGCGTCTGCGCAGTTTGTCAAAGTTGAGGACGCTCACAATGAAAACAGGTTGCGTTTCAGGGTAGCGTTGAGATTCGTTTCAATGAACCGATTCACTGAACATTCAATACTAATGCTTTTAAAGGTTGCAGCGCTGGTATTAACAGCTGGTAGCTGGTTGGTTGCTGGTCTAAGATGGACTACCAGCTTGCGCCAGCTAATGATAAACCAGCAATTGTGCAGCTGCCAATAGTTTCCAGTATTATTAATGATAATATTTAGTAATATAATACTCTAGACATTTTTGTCTAGATTATGTTAGTTTTACTCTTATTATTATGTAGTGACTAGGCTACAAACGCTTTTCAAACCAGTCGAATCATTCAAGAGAATCGACTCAAATAAATGATTCGCGAATCGGACATCACTACAGCGCTGCAGGTGCGAAAGAGAGGTTTAGTCTATGTAGATAATTCAAAGTAGATATGAATTCATGTGAATGAATCCATCCAAGGAGCATAAATATTTAAAGATTTGTGCTGTTGAATACGTGTCATTATATTTCTTGTTGTAGTCTGTGTTGGACCAGGGCAGAAAGACAGAAAAGAAACAAAACAAACAACTTTCGACATATGTAAAATCGTATGTCGGGCAACTGAGGTAGGTAAGGATACTTACAAGTTCTTCTTTGTCTTTTCGGTCTGTTTGTGCAATGCAACAGAAAATCCAAATAAACTGCCCTTGGTTTTTCCTTCTTTGATTACCGGGAACTGCACGTCAATGTTAAATCCAGTGTTGGTTTGAATCGCGCACATTACGAATACGCACAAGTGCAGAGACTTTCCAGCCATATTTAATATTCCCCCTCTCTCTCCCTCTCTCTATCACCTGCACAACCAAAGCCAGTGAGATTGAACTGGTCAATTACACGCCATAGGAAAGCCTCTTCTTTCACTCTGTGGCTCTGAGCTGTAAGGTGTGTGTCGCTGTTCTCTGTTCCCCGCCTCCACACACCCTCAGCGAATTCCAGCGTGCCCCTGTCCGCCACACTTCACCAGCCCCGCTTCCCCAAACAGAGGACTAGATAGACTATATCCCACAAGTCTGATAAGAGCTCT